GGCCCGGCCGGCGCCGGGCGAGCAGCGGCACCTGCCGGCACCGGCACCAGCACCGGCACCGACACCGGCACCGGCACGGCGAGTGCATAGGAGGTGCTGGGCACCGGGTCCTGGGCTCTGGGCACCCAGCGTGGATACTGGACGGGGACCGGGTACTGTGTGCCGGGACCGGGCACTGGGGCTTGATACTGATACTGGACACGGGGACTGGGGACTTGGTGCTGGGTATTGGATCTGAGCACCAGAGGCACCAGGACTGGCACTGGTTAGTAGGTACTGGGCACTTGGACTGAATACTGGGCGGCAGGAGTGGGAGTTGGGGCTGAGCACCAGAGGCACCAGGACTGGCACTGGATAATAGTTACTGGGCATGGGAACTTGATACTGGGTACTGGACACCGGGACTGGCACTGGGACTGTGCACTAGGACTGGGACCAGATGCTGGGAACCGGGATTGGATAATGGGCACTAGGGAACACTGGGACTAGGTACTAGGTACTGGCCACCGGGACTGCGTGTTGGTCACTGGGCACTTGAACCAGGCACTGGGCCTGGGTGCTGGCAGCAAGCACCACATGCTAGGACAAGGCACAGGGCCACAGCGCCCAGTACTGGGCACCAGGAATGAACCCCCAGCACTGCATAGCTGTCCTGGGCAAAACACTGCACCCCATGGGGCTCTGCCAGCCAAACTCTGCAAAAAGTGAGGAAAAAGTGAGAAAATCCTGTGTTTCAGGCTCAGCATGCTGGCGCTTGCCAGTGGTGCTGGCACCGGTGCTAGTGATGTGACAAAACTTCATGCGGCTGCTCATGATCAACGGGAGGCACCTGCTGCATGGGGAGAGCTCCAAGCACAGGCTGAGACTCCCCTCTCCTTTCCCCTCCTCCTCTTACCTCCTCTCTCCTCCTCATGGAATACACTTCGCACCAAATGTTTTCAGTCTGGGCTTTTCTCATCAGGGCTTCTCGAGGCAGGAGAGACTACGGAGCTCGGGAAAACCTTCCTGTGTTTTGAGGCAGCATCTCTCAGTCCGACAGGGAGTATTTGACAAAGAAAGTATCACAGAAAACACTGCTGCTCTGGGAGCCGAGTCGGGCCCTGGTGACACATCCGTGGGCTCCATCTGCCACCTGCCGGCGACATCTGCGGGCTGTCCCCGCTGGACACGTCTGGCTGCCCACTTCTGCGTGGTTGCCCCAGGACAGGTCCCTTCTCGGGGTCTCTCGTCGCCGGCGCATCTGGAGAGCTGCCAGCAGCCGCCTCAGCCGCACGCGGAGGTGGCCGCTGCTTCCCCGGCCTGTGCGCACGATGTCAGCGCATCGGGAGGAGCCGCTTTTGTCCCCCATGTCCCTCCAGTGAGGGTCCCAGCTCGGAGGGGGGCAGAAATAGCCAATTGCCCCAGTTTGGGGGGTAAACTACCGAGACCGGTGTGCGACGCGGGTGCCAGGGCACGAGCCCCTGCGGCCGAGCTCCGAGC